AAAAAAAATTCTTTCATTACTGTTATTGTATTAAAGTCACATTTGTCTGAGGCCATGGTCTGTGATGAGACGCCTCTGCTCTGACAGAACGCAGACGACTAGTTTACAGAAACTGAAATGTCTGAGCAGGGGTTACGTTGAAGAGGATAAATGAACGGATGAACGACAAAAACAGAAAGTTTCACTAAAGACGATGACGTTGGTAATCATTTTCATATTTTCAACCTTAATTTTAAAATTAAAAAAGTCAACTTTTTTAACTTAACTGACCCCACCTCGGTGGGTCTCTGCTCAGTTCATCCAACAGTGCATGAGAACTGAAGTTCAAAATATTTACTTTATGTATTGTTTTGCTTGTATTTTTTTAAAACAATGTTCTAACTGCACTTGTAAAGAGGTTAAAAAAATGTCCTGATTCTAGCTCCACCCAGGTCACTTTAACCCACGGTCGTACAGTTCTTTCGAACGCCCCTGCTACAAAAGTAGCAAACTTTGAGCAAATGTCTTGTACAAAAAATAAGTATGAGGTCAACAGAAAAAAAGTCCTGTTCTTTAGGGAACAGTGTAGCCAGAAGAAGACCAGAGGAACAACTCCTCCAGGACACGGACAGTGTTCTCATCATGTCTGCAGTGATGGACAGCGGTAAACAGCTACATTCTACAGTTTTGTCTTAACGCCATCATTTAATAAAACGTATAAAAAATAATGAGCGATTTACATTTGGACATAAGTGACCCTTCAACACAATATTCCAAACAGAAGTCGTAAAAACTTACCAGTGTTCGCAACGGATTTAGTCCCGTCCTATTACTGAACAGCGGATCTGTCTGCGTTGGCACTCTGTACCTTTAAATACCAACAGTTGGTGGGCGGGACCCTTTTGATACACAGCAAATAGACAGCAGCTTTAGAGGAAATCCAACCAATTGCGTTTAGGTAGTAGGAGTAAAAGCCATTCCTATTGGCTGTTAACCGCCACGTTGTCACGCAAAGACGACTGAGATTTTTTTCGTAATATTTCATGGTGTGGATGGATGTTTAGAAAAAACAAAAACACCTAAAAGTAACACTTTTAGGTTTATTTAAATATTTATTAATTTGTAATTTATTACACAGTAACATATTTTCAAATACATAATCGTGTGGTTATTCGGAACATTTAACAGATTTACTGACGAAATCTGACGTATACTTGTGTAATTCCAGTACATTTTAAAATCTGATTTCGATTTGTGGTTCCTTAGATTGAAGATTTAAAAAAAATGTTTTACAGAATAGGACTTCACTTGGCTGCACTCAGTCTTTTTCTAATCGAATAACAAGCAGGTTTTTGCAGAATTTTGGAATTGGAATCAACATATTTTTTTATACAGGATGTGGAAAATTTGGGATAAGACAATATGATTTTCAGCTAAATATTTACCAAAGTGGAGATGAACATGACATAATTTTCTTAAGACTTACACAGTGAGTTAAATTAGGTCAAATTACATTTTGAGAACAACAAAATCTCTGCGAGCCACTCTGCCCATCAGACCATTTGTATTGCCAGTGAGGTGACACAGTGGGGAAGACTGTGCATGTGATGGTGCTACGGTGTTATTACTCTGCCCATCACCCCTGGGCTTCTCAGTGCAGTGACAGTTGTTTGTGTTTGTTTATTCTTCATTGACATAGCTGTTGTTTTTTAAATGTACTTAAACTTAAGCGCCAGAATTACCACATTTACGGAATAATAGGCCGGTGCTTCCTAAAAGTGAAGTTAACTTCAACTTCCTGTAAAAGCTCATATCTTCAAAGGAATTCAGGACAAAATAGACTTTTTGACCGAGAAATAAGATATGTCGGTGTAGTACGGGGGTTGGGTTCTAGACCATTGTTAACTAAAGAAAACCAGCATTTTAGCAGTGCAAGTGCAAACAAAAAAAAAAAAAGAAAAAAAAGAAGAAGAAGCAAAGCAGGTTTTCCTTTTCAATCCTGAAAACACTGTAAGATGAGAACAGCACAAAGCAGGAGGTGGCTGAAGGTACATAAAGTCATGAAGCATATTTAAATTCCAAATATTAAATGTGTGTGTACAGACCCCTGAGTTTTCACACCAGTTACATCACTGTCACCTTCACTGGAGACTTGTGTTTAAGCGTGAATCAAGGTGAAAAAAAGAAAAAGAAGACGTCCAAAACACTGGCAAAAACAAGGGACGGAGATGAAAGGATGCTGATACAGTAGAATGAAGAAGGAAGTTGTCAGTGTGTTTCAACAAGTTTAAGACTCAACAGATCATTTTTGAACGAAACTATGTTTATATATGACAAATATACAAAGAGTTCGGGGACATTAAAATACATTTTGAGATAGTTCATGTCGAAAATGCCAACAGAAAATAGACCAAAATAATTGAAAGAATGTATTTTTCCTCTTGTTGGGTATGCGACATTTTATTTCAATTCATTTCATTTTATTTTTACATTGGCCATATTTCATGTATTTTCCATGATTTTTTTTAAAAATATACACATTTCGCCTAATGGTTACAGGTAGACAATTACGCTTGTCGTGCCTACAGATAACCAGAGGAGGGCGTTGTTACTGTTTTCCAGACGTTGCAGAATCTTTTCTTCAGATTGTAGCAGCAGGAGGAGGAGAAGAGAAGAAGTAAATTGCCCTTAGCTGTGAGGTCTAACAGCAGGAGCGGAGCTGCTAAATCCTCCCCAGTGACACTCAGGGCCACAGCCTCATCTACCGGGCTGTGAATGGGTATTGACAGGTTCTGCAGTGTGGACAGTTCCGACCCGTTCTGGGTGAGTTGACGCCAGTCCTTTATCTCTCGGGTCCACGCTAACTGACCGGCAGCTTTCACTTCCGGATGACACTGCCTGAGAACTTTGTTGTGTATTTTTTTTCCCGGCACACGCGCTCAGTAGAAAAACAACTATCGGATTGGTTTTCTTTAAATTGCAAATATATTCGTAGCCATTGTTTGCGGTTTGGGGGCTTTTTTTAATTTTATTTTTTTAGAAAAACATACTTGTGCGTTTAGCCTCACTCCCTGTTGCCATGTTTTTTTCTACCCACTCAACGAAAATGTCAGGTTTCGTCGTCAACAACAGCGAGCGGCGAATACGTCGCCGGAGAAATGAATCCACAGTTTCTGTTATATGACGCCCTACATTGTTTCCGGGCTGAAAATGGATGGAAAAAATTATATACACCAGACTTTTATAATAACTGTAAGAAACAAATACATGAACTGTGTGTCAGGGTTATCTGATACCTGGCCAAGTTAGTTATGCACAAAAACAGAATGCAAAAATAACCTCGGCCTCCAACTTAACCTTCATTAAAAACGAATTCCAATTCATCTTTAAACCGTCTTATATGAAGGACCCAGATAAACAGTCACTCAGTGTTTCTCATCTTTAAACCGTCTTATATGAAGGATAATAAACAGTCACTCAGTGTTTTATTTAATTGATTCTGTTTATATTTATAGCGGAAACTATTTGTATGAAAATGCATAGAATTTGTTTTAGAGGAACACATTTAAACATACTTACATATTGTTATATAATATGCAAAACTAAACGATTACAGAGGACACTCTGTTTTTCTCTGCTCTGAGGTTTAGTGTGAGTAAAATGCTACCAAAGTTCAGAAGGTCAACATGTTTGGTCAGGCAGTTATATAATTTTATTTATTTTTTGACATTTATGTTGTGTTGTACAGAAGTACCGTGTGAACAGCGCCCTCACTGGGTTCACAGCACTGAACATGATGAAGTTTTCATATTTTCAACTAATTTTAATTTTGTTTTTTTCTGTCTGAATGAAAGGATTGGAACCATACGTTGTACACTGACACTCCCGACCTCACCCAGTGTTTCCAGAACACTGTGCTGGTGTGGCTGCCATGCATCTACCTCTGGATTTGTGCCCCCATCTACCTCATCTACCTCCGTAGCCACAACCGTGGTTACATATGTATGAGTCTCCTCAACAAGGCCAAAACTGTGAGTGTCGACGCCCCTGTCCCTCCACAACAGATTTTACCACAAATATGGTCCACATTAACTAAATATATGAACTATATTAACAATAATTATAATAATAAAATTGATAATAATTTCTTGTTAACTATACTATGTATTATTGGCATTTTTTAGTATTTTAATTGTTGGGTTTTTGATTCTTTGTTAATACTAGTATTTGTATTTTATGTCATTTTTTAATTATGTCACTCAATTTTTTTAGTATTTTAATTGTTGGGTTTTTGATTCTTTGTTAATACTAGTATTTGTATTTAATGTCATTTTTTAATTATTATGTCACTCACTTGTGTCAAAAATAAGGTTCATACAGTTGAAAATGAAAAACTACATTTGGTTTAGGATCTTTTTAAATACATTTAAAAGTAAATTAATTTGAAAGGTTCATACAGTTGAAAATGAAAAACTGGGATTGTGGGATTGTCAGTCCAGTCGACTGACAGAAAACCCTGTCACTTTTACATCATTCTGAGAACATGAGTCCAGGTCCAGGTCTCCCTCAGTGGTCTGTGAGATGTCCAGGTTTAGACCATTGAAAAAAAAAAAAGATGGAGAACCTGAGCTGTTTTCTCTCTGCAGGTCGTAGGTTTCCTACTGTGGATGATTTGCTGGTCAGATGTTTTCTATTCTTTCTGGGAAAGAAGTCATGGTGGTGCTACAGCACTCGTCTACATCGTCAGTCCCACCGTCCTGGGTCTCACCATGGTGAGTCGGTCAGTCTGTAGTAAACTTTTCAACTGTTATTTTCTGAAGATCAAACCTCCGAGTTCAGCACCAGGTTGCATACGTGCGTCTGTACAGGATGTAACAATGCTGTTTTTTTAACCACAACCACGTGCAGCCACTTATCTGTGCTGAGACACACAGTAATGGGCTGCAGGAGGCGCTGCTCTAATCAGGTAACTCCAACTACAAGGCACCGCCCCCTGTTTGTTTATCTAAAAAAAACACAGTCCACGCCTGTAAAACAAACAATTATGTCAGTGTCAAAATAGACATTAAGCTTAATAACATTAACATATTGTAATGACTGTATGTATTAAGGCAAAGTGTTTTTAATTAATGTTTTACATTTTTTAAATAATGAACACACTATTGTGTTCTGTGAATTTTAATTATTTTATTTTTTTCACCCTCATATTTGATTTGACCAAGTATCTTAATAAACATCAGGGTCACAGCGCCCCCTACTCTCTGTATTGTTGTTTGTTTGAAACAAATAACTGCGAGGGTCTCTAGGTGACACATTTAATATAAAACACAATCGATTAATTCAAAATCCAAACACTAGGGGGCCCCGGCTCTGTCTCTCCACGAATTCTCATGTGTGACGTCACAATCTTCTAAAACAACTCTTCCAGTTACTGGCTACAGTGTTGATCCAGTACGAGCGGATGAAAGGGGTTCAGTCGTCCGGAGTTCTGCTGATCTTCTGGCTGCTGGCGCTGATGTGTGCCACCGTCACCTTCAGGTCCAAGATCCTGCAGGCCCTCCACCAGGTGAGACCAGGAGATGGAGATAGGGCTGAGGTCGAAGGTCATTCTTTAGTCCTCTACATCATAACATACGTGATGTAATAATATTATATAAAGTAACATATGTAATAATACGATGTAACATGCATATTATATTATATTATGTGTTTATCAAATGGTGGCCCGCAGGCCAAAATCGGCCCATCAAATCATCCAATCTGGCCCGCAACTGGATTTCAAAATAATACATCAAATAATAATCTGAGACCATTTAAATTTTCTCTCAAAGTGTCTGTCCAGAAAAGTTCTGGCCCCTCCGACAAATGTCGTTGTTGACCCCTGACCTGAGAGATCTGCAAACCTTTTTTTTTTTTAGCTGCTAGATTTCACCACTTCCTGGGGATTAAATATTTACCCCGATCTTACAGGCTGAGAACAAACATTCTTGAATCAAAGTCAACAGTTTTTTTTTTAATTTGTTTTATTCTGCCAGATTGAAGTGATTTGGTCACTGGAACATTCTAGACTGATTTGGAACATAAGAAACTGCTCACATGAGCCAACCTCCCTGTAACGGTGGAGGTTTGTTTTAAGGAATGTGTCGTTTGATGTTATGTCTAGGGTTGTGCAGTAGTTTTAGGCAGGCACTGACACGTTCCTTCTCCTCACTTTCTCTGCGGCGTTTTTGTTCTTTAAGTAATTAAAAGAAAATGTGGCTGTCTGAGCTCTGCGGTGACATACTTTATTTGTCTTTTCTTCCAGCAGACGCCCGTGTCTGTGTGGAGATACACCACCTTCTACAGCTACTACGCTCTGCTCCTGGTGGCTCTCATCCTGTCCTGCCTGGCCGACCAGCCGCCGCTCTTTTCCCAGGCTGTCCGCGACCCAGTAAGAGCGCCTCACACTGGACATGTGCAGTAAAGTGGCAAAACCCTTTACTGCTCGTACACACATACAAAATACCTACAACGTTTACAGAACACGTTATTTTATTTGTTGTCAGAACCCCTGTCCTGAGTCTGGAGCATCTTTCCTCTCCAAGATAACCTTTTGGTGGATCACCAGGTGATGAAGCAACATTTCAGTACTGTTACAAAAGACTCGACCAGCCGCTCACTCTCCCTCTCTCCCTCTCCCTCTCTCCTTATCTTCATATGTGTGAGGGGTTTACTTCTATAAGAACCTGCTGCACCTGACTTCCAAACGTTCTCTGTTCTAACGCTTCATCTTCGTCTTCCCCCAACCAGGCTGCTGATTACAGGCTACAGGCGCCCCCTGGAGGACAAGGACCTGTGGTGTCTGAATCAGGATGACTGCTCTCACAGGGTGGTTCCCGGGCTGATGCGTCGATGGAGCAACGAGTGCCAGAAGGTCAAAAGGTCTGTGGTGTGAACCAACTGGGCATTGGAACCATTTCTGACCGTCCTCAGTCCTCTGACCCTCCCCCGTCTCCCTCCTCTCCCCCCGCTCCCTCCCTAGGACACAGCAGAAGATCCTGTACTCCCCCAGGCCGACCAAAGAGGGCCGGGATCTGGAAGAGACAGAGGTTTTGAACGTCACCCCTGCAAAGAAAACAGCCAAACCCTCCCTGTTCTGGGCCTTGTGTCTCTCCTTTGGACCCTACTTTCTCATTTCCTGCCTTTTTAAGATCATCCACGACGTCCTCATGTTCGTCGGGCCTGAAATCCTTCGGTGAGGGAACACTGTTAACCTTGTCAAATTCACAGGGAACTCAGCACAAACCTTTAATCACACCACTCAATCACAGGGAACTCAGCACAAACCTTTAAGCACACATGACATTTAAGAAGAGTGCCCCCTGATGGCCTCCTTTTGCTAAAATCCAGCATTAACATATTTGTGCAGAATTAAAAAAAACAAACAAACATTCAGTTGACAATTAGTCCTACGATCAAAATGACTTTAAATTCGTTATTCATTCATACAGGCTGCTCATACGATTCGTCACCGACTCCAGCGCCCCCTCTTGGCAGGGCTTCTTCTACACTAGTCTGCTGTTCTTCTGCACGTGTGTGCAGTCAGTCATCCTCCAGAAATACTTTCACGTGTGCTTCGTCTCAGGCATGCGTCTGCGCGCCGCCATCATCGGCGCGGTGTACAGGAAGGTACGAGGAATGGATGGAGTCACACACACACACACGCACACACTCTTCTGATCTTGCCTCTCCGTCTTCTCCAGGCTCTGGTGATTGGCAGCGCTGCCAGGCGCACCTCCACAGTGGGAGAGATCGTAAACCTGATGTCGGTGGACGCGCAGCGCTTCATGGACCTGGTCACCTACATCAACATGATCTGGTCTGCCCCCCTGCAGGTGGTGCTGGCTGTTTACTTCCTGTGGCAGGTACTATCGCATGGCAGACGGTGTGACCCCCGAGCCACCTTTTGAACACATCATCGGTGTAGAATTAAATTGAGATTCAGACCCCTCGTTCTTCTCCTCTTACATGTGACCCTCACTGTCCTGGACTTCTCCCTCTCTCCCCCACAGACTCTGGGTCCGTCGGTTCTGGCTGGAATGGCTGTGATGGTTCTGATGGTTCCTGTCAATGCTGTCATGGCGATGAAGACCAAAACATATCAGGTAACGTTCAGGGACCAGGAGGACGACGCTGTCTCTATATATGACATCTACCTTTAAATTAATGTGTGTGTGTGTGTGTGTGTGTGTTTCACAGGTGGCCCAGATGAAGAATAAGGACGACCGTGTGAAGCTGATGAACGAGATGCTGAACGGCATCAAGGTCCTGAAGCTCTACGCCTGGGAGCTGGCCTTCAGGGACAAAGTGTCCGAAATCCGTGAGAGCGAGCTGCAGGTCCTGAAGAAGATCGCCATCCTCGGAGCGGTGACGACCTTCACCTGGGTCTGTGCGCCGTTCCTGGTGAGTAGACGGGACACCTGAGACCCACTGTGGAGAAGAACCGATGGTCAAGGTCCTTGTCTCTCTCCCCCTCTGTCTCCAGGTGGCGCTGTCCACCTTTGCTGTGTACGTACTGGTGGATGAGAACAACGTCCTGGATGCTCAGAAGGCCTTCGTGTCGTTGGCTCTTTTCAACATCCTTCGTTTCCCGCTCAACATCCTGCCAATGGTCATTGGAAATATGGTGCAGGTCAGTGAACCTGCAGTGAGGTCATCAGTGTTCCAGGTGTCGGTCGCAGGGTTTAACTGGTCCACGAGTCCTCGGCATCACATCTTCATGGACAGTTAACCCCCAGAAATCAGGCCCCCGCTCGAGTCCTCGGCATCACATCTTCATGGATAGTTAACCCCCAGAAATCAGGCCCCTCCACCCACCACGGCATCCTAGGAAAATGAGTAGAGAACATAGAGGGAGAGAGAACACACAAACTGACCTCCTCACCCTCCTCCTCCTCACCCCCCTCCTCCTCTGTGTCTCCAGGCCAGCGTGTCCCTGAAGCGTCTCCGAGTGTTTCTGTCACATGAGGAGCTGCAGGAGGACAGTGTGGACCACAAAGTACTGACAGGCTGTGAGTTTGTTTTTTTTATTTTTTTTATTTTTGACAACAGACCGAGTGTCCTCGTCCTGTTGTCTGTGCTGACACACTCACTCACATGTGTTTTTTTGTTCTCCTTCTCAGCCTCACACAGTGTCTCCATAATGGATGGTGTTTTCAGCTGGTCCAAGACTGAGTCACCAACACTCAAGAGGTGTGTGTGTGTGTGTCTGACTGTCTGTGTGTGTTGTTTTATTTTCAAGTAAAAACCTGATCTTTATGAGATCTGCCTTTACCACGAGAGTTCAGATGAAGATCGAATTTCTTTTTCTAAGAATTAAAAACAGGACACTAATTGTGTGTCACTGTTCAGTGCAGTCTATGGCAATGGTTCCCAAAGTAGGGGTGGGGTCTCCCAAGGCGGCACACATCTAGCAAATTTCTCTTTATTGTCTCATGGTTTGTAATTGTATTTCTTTTGTTTACGGAGACTCAGTTTTGTAGGATTGACAGCGTTAACTTGGCAGAAACTGATCGTACGATGAGTCAGAGTCTGCGGAGGTTTCCTCACGAGGACGTCGATTGTTTGTGCTCCCTGAATCAGTGCAGTGACGTCATCTCCTCCATGTGTGCAGATTAAATGTGTCTATTCCTGATGGCTCTCTGGTGGCCGTGGTGGGACACGTGGGGTCGGGAAAGTCCTCGTTACTGTCGGCACTGCTGGGAGAGATGGACAAAATAGAAGGAAGTGTAGCCGTGAAGGAACACACACACAACCACACACACACACACACCCTGCGCTGGACCTCCTCCTCCTCCCGATCGTCACCACCCACTCTGTTTCCCTGCAGGGGCTGGTGGCCTACGTTCCGCAGCAGGCGTGGATCCAGAACTCCACTCTGAGAGAAAACATCGTGTTTGGACATGAGGTGAAAGAAAACTGGTACCAGCAGATCCTGGAGGCCTGTGCCCTCCAGCCTGACCTGGAGATCCTTCCTGCTGGAGACGAGACGGAGATTGGAGAGAAGGTGTGGAACTGGGATGGTTTAATTTTTTTTTCTTTGAATCTCTCATAAAGTACTTAATATTTGAGGGCAGGTTCTACCAAATATTCGTCAACATTTGTGATGTCCGGGTAGGTAAAAGGTTGCGTAGATTTACTGCATTCCTTTGACGTACGGATGTCGCAGTCATTTTATCTGTTTTTCCCAGGGTTCATTTAACTGTCGGAATCTGGGAAAATGATTAGGCTGTCGATCTGTTAAGGTTTTTTAATCTGATTTGATACTTCTCACATACTTAAATTAAATAAATCTTTTGCTACTTTACATTTACTCTTGTATAAACTAAATGTTTATACTTGTATTTTTGATTACACCTTATTCTGTCTTATTTTGGTATTTTATCTGAATTCTTTTCCCCAACTGTCACAGTGATTTTAGAAAAATAAATTAAAACAACACTCGTCTGAGTGAACGTCTCTGCTCTGTCCAGGGAGTGAACCTGTCTGGAGGTCAGAAGCAGAGGGTGAGCTTGGCCAGAGCGGTGTACTGTGACCGGGCCGTGTACCTGCTGGACGACCCCCTGTCTGCCGTGGACGCTCACGTGGGGAAACACATCTTTGAACAAGTGATTGGTCCACAGGGTCTGCTGAAGGACAAGGTCGGTGTCCCGGCATAGTCTTGGTTTGTGTTTGTCTTCTTAGGTCTCAGACTGACTCTGACTCTGTGCAGACCCGTGTGCTGGTGACCCACGGCCTGAGCTACCTGCCCCAGGTGGACCTGATCCTGGTGTTGGTGGAGGGAGAGATCACAGAGATGGGCTCCTATCAGCAGCTCATGGACAGAGATGGCGCCTTCGCCGAGTTCCAGCGCACGTATGCCGCTGTGGACAACACGCACACCAGCGGTGAGACAACACGTTCACGTCGACTGTGTCTGAGCTGAAACGTTGTAGTGGTTCAGTGGTGAAGTGTAGTTCACTGTTGTATCTCACTTTGATTAGAGTCTTTGCCAAAGAGTGAAACCAAAGGAAAAGAAAACGGGGAAGTGACCGGTGTTGATGGGTGAGTAGAAGAAGAAAAAAAATCCTGAACTCCTAAAGAAAGATTTAAAGAAGGAAGAATGAAAGAAAGAAAACTGTTCTGTCTGTTTGTAAACAGCGCCGCAGATGTGACACAAAAGTCACCGCCGCTGCAGGAAGACAAGGAGCTGAACAAGAACTCCAAGAACCCTGAGCTGGGCAAGCTGACGGAGGCTGACAAGGCCTCCACCGGTCAGGTGGGTGGAGCTGAACTCCTACCTCAGAGTGACCTCAGAGTGACCTCAGCACCACAGTAGAATGCCGTTATATTCACCCTCTGCATGTTTCTGGTAGAAGAAGAGTTTTTTTCTCCAGACTTCTTGAAGTCGTAGTCACAGACCACACCCTCTCCCCCTTTACTCCCCCTTTACTCCCCCCTTCACACAGGTCAAACTCTCCGTGTTCTGGGCCTATATAAAGGCCATCGGCTCCTTCCTCACCTTCTTCAGTTTCCTGCTCTTCCTCACCCATCACTCCCTCTCCCTCTTCTCCAACTACTGGCTGAGCTTCTGGACCGACGACCCGGTGATCAACGGCACTCAGCCGTACAGACAGAGGAGACTCCTGGTGTATGGGGCCCTGGGCGTGTCCCAAGGTGAGGAGGGGCTCATTATTATTTGGTAAAAAAAAAAAAGGCTTTCTTTGCG